TCCTCCATCAAATCTGCTCTCTGTTGCTGTAGGGGTTCTGTCCAGACCAGCTCCCTGCTTTGTCAAGAGTGCTCCTTGTCTGAGCCAAGCATTCCCCTGTCTACCTTCAGGGAAGCCACCTGTCTTCCATTGTGTCCCTTCTGGGAGGTGGGCTGCCTGCCCTGGCCCTGCTCAGGGAGGGTCCATTCTTGTTATGGTTTGTGTCTAGATGTCCCCCTAAAGCCTCCTGCAATCAGGAGATAGCTGAATCTAGTTTCTGATTGTTTTATTGTCTAGTACTGGGGTTGGGAGTGTGAATGCTACACCTACCCTAGGGTGTGTAGCCTGTGTACAATATAAAGGAAGAAAAGAGGCTTGCTTTTGCTCTTGTTGCTTTTTGTTGCCTTCTGCACCATGAATGGTTGTCTCTGTGCCATGTGCCACCTTGCCTTGGAGTCATCAAGTTATGGACTGAAACCTCTATGAACTGTGAGCTAAATAAATGTTTATACTTTTAGTTTTGAGCATCAGGTATTTTGTCTCAGCAACTAGAGAAACATAACTAACACAAGCTCACTGTAGGAGCAGCATTGGAACCCTCAACCTGACTACACCTGTGTCATGGGACAGTGCCTTCAATGAGCAACCTGAGAGGGCCTATACCCTGACAGGGACAGAGGCTTCCACTGCTTGTACCAAAGCATCCCATCAGGCTGCACCTCTAACGCCCCTCTGCAGAAGCCAGCACAGATACTAGGATTCAGGTCTCAGGATGGGCTTCAGGCTGGCTGCCTCTTGTTGAATCAAAGGGCTTTAGAATGCTGTAATGTCTGTGTGACCAAATTCAGGCAGAGAAACAGTCTGGAGAAAGAAACCAACAATTCTGGTTTCTTCACTCTCCCAGAGGAGGGCCAGAAACCATGCACCATGCACACCGTCCTGAAGCACATCCTGAGGAGGTTACTGAGTCTTTTCTGGTTCTATCATTTTGACTTAGGTAAACATAGGGAGGGGCCACTTTTTTGGGGGTGGTCATGGCACCTGAGGGTCTGGAGCTGGGGACACTCAGGGAACCCTCCCAAACTGTAGGTAGCTGGGAGAGTTACCTGAAATTTGGAAGTCATTCATTCACGAATTGTTTTATTTATTCTCTAGGTATTAGTTTTGAGTACCTGTACCCAGGTGAATCAAGTTTTATACCCATGGCAAGACATGGCCTTCTGGAATCCCTGCCCATGGATAGTAAATATCAGATGGCTAGTGATGCCCACATGCTTCACCAGTTGGGGCAGGAGCTGTGGGAAGTGGCGTCTGTCCAGGTTTTCTCCCATAGTGACAGTATCATTGGTTGGCCCCTAAAAGACAAGGCTGGAGTGAGGGGCAGAGGGCAAGGCAAGTCTATCGATGAAGAAGCAGCTCAGGCCAGGTGTGTCTCTTGCCAGCCAGGCACATGACTCTTGCAGACTAGGTCAGCCCTGGTGAAGCCTCCTCTTGTACCCACGGCAGTGGCCTCTCCTCTGGACAAAGGCTAATAATGTAGGAGATTAGGAGCATGAGGCTGTCCAGTGGCTGCTCTGAGGCTGACTCATCACAGTGCCACCAGAGGGTGCCTGGAGCCCACCATTTGCTTCAAAGGCTTTAGTTAGGGTGGCCATTATCCTACTGACCACACGTAGCAGCTTCATAGCTTCTGGGCCAGCGTAGCTGTGGTAGCCAACTGGGACACCCACTTCCTCTGTGAGTTACCTGTGTGCCTGCCATGTTCCCACTGTAGCTCATCCTTTCCTCTCTTGCTTTTTCAGCACTGAAGATGGAGCTCAGGGCCTCATGCATGTCAGACAAGTGCTCTACACTAAGCTATACTCCACCTGTTTTGAGACGGGGTTTCACTAAATTGCCCAAACTAGCTTCGAACTTACCATCTCCCTGCATCAGGTGGAATTGCTGGTGTGCCCAACTATGCCCTGCTCTTTTTAGTTTATCTATTTATCTACCTATCTATCTTTAAGACAAGATCTCACTAGATAGCTAAAGCTAACCTTGAACTCAGTATTCAAGGCCAATCACTTTAAAAATTTTATTTTAAAGAAAAAAAATAAAATTTCAAGGTAAGATAATAGGAGAGTAACGATGGTTAATACAGTGCACATTGTTATCTTTAAATTAGTTATTCAGGGTACAAGATATATAATGTTGTCCTAGCAAAGGTCCAAACCTTTCTTTTCAATGAACTAAGAGATTAGTAGTATAGCTATTATAACTAATATATATGTATATAGATATGCTTTCCCCTTCCTTCTTTTCTCCTTTCCCCCATCCTAGTTCCTCTTTCCTTTTGAACAGTTTCTTCTGCCCATTTTACAATACCTATTGTACATTTGGGATCTTATTTATACTTTCAGCTTCTCATACTAGGGAGATAATATGATATTTACCCATGTGAGTTTGGTTTATTTCACTTATGAGTATGGTCTCAAGTTGCATCCATTTACCAATAAAAGTCTCAAGTTTATCCTCCTTTATGGCTGAGTAGTACTCTATTTTATAAAAAGACCACATTTTTTAAAAAAAAAACTATTCCTCTGTTAATGGGCATTTGGGTTGTTTCCATGATCTAGCTATTACAAATTGCGCTGCTATAAACATAGATGTACATATTTAACTGTGGTATGATTTTTTAACTATTCTGGGAAGATATACAGAGGGGGAATATCTGGGTCAAATGGAACCTCCAATCCTTTTTTGAGGAATCTCTACACTGATTTCCACAGTGGTTGCACCAGTTTACACTCCCACCAACAGTGGAGAAGGGTTCCTTTTCACCGCCAGCCCCTCCAGCATTTGTTACTGATTGATTTTCTTTCTTTCTTTCTTTCTTTTTTTTTTTTTTGTGTGTGTGGTGCCAGGAATCGAACTCACAGTCTCACACTTGCCAGGCAGGCACTTATGCTGATGAGCTAAATCCCAAGCCCCCTACTGATTGATTTTCAAGCCAGTCTTAACTGCATAGTGGGACCCTGTCTCAAAGGGTTTTTAAAATTATTACTACTGGATGCTGGAAGTTGAACTCAGAAGCTTGCACGTGCCGGCATGTGCTCTATCACTAAGCTATAGTCCCCCTCATTGTAATGAAAGACAGATATATTAGCTTTCCAATGCTGTGACACAATACCATCTTCTCTGCTGTGGTCTCATGCTGTGATGTTTCTGCCTTGAATACAGCAGACCACTGATTGAATCCCCTGAAACTGTGAGCAAAATTAAATCTCTCCTTTAAATTGTGGGTGTCAGGCATTGTGCACAGTTTGGTAGTGTCATGTACATTTCTCATCATTATAGACCAATCTCCAAGACTATTTCCAAACTGAAAACTATGCCAGTTTTTACTTAGTAAATATCTTTCAAGCTCATCCACATTATAGAAGGGGACACTTTCATACTTTTTGATCCTAAATAATAATAAACCACATGTTGCTTATGCACTTGCCTGCTGTGCTGGGTTAAGACTGTCAATTTAGCTAGGTGGTGCACACCTTTAATCTCAGCACTTGGGAGGGTAAGGTAGGAGGATCACTATGAGTTCGAGGCCAGACTGGGCTATTTAGTGAGACCCTGTCTCAAAAAACACATGAAACAAATGAAAACAAAACAAAACCAAAAAATCTGATTCGTTTGTGGGTTAGTAAAGCACACTTCTGGGTGTGTTTGGGTGGATCATGGAGATACGACCTTGGGTACCAGTATATATGGTCTCTGGTCCTTGCCTATCTGGCAGTGTTCCTAAGCTCTGCTTCCCAGCCACCATGAACTAAGCATATTCTTTCTCTGCCATATCCTTCTCTCATGGTGCTTCTGCTTTGGAGCCAGCTTACCATGGATGGAATCCCCAGAAGCTGTGAGCAAAATTAAACTGCCTTTTAAAATTGTGGGTGTTGAGTATTGTGTCCTAGCACAGGAAAATTAATGCTCTGCCCTTGGATACTTGAGTTATTTTGGTCGTTGTTATTTTCTATTCTGACTCCCTTCGGGCTCTCATTGGCCTAGGAGGGTTCTAGGGCCTGGGAAGGATAACCAGTGCTTTGAAGCTCTCATTTGGGTTTCCGAGGGATTCAGTGAACCCCTCCCACTGGGGCCTTTGATGTCTCTCCAGGGCAGCAGGAGGGCTGGGGGCAGTGGGCTGCCTTTTCATACCTATCTGCTGCAGAGTCCCTGGCTCCTGCAAACATCTAGGGTTTCCTAACTGGTTGAATCTTTCAGGACTGCTTGCTGGGAAGCCTACTAGCCCCCCAGCCTGATTCTGGGCATTTTTGAGTGTCCTTCATGACAGCTGACCAGGATCAATGGAGGTCTGCCTCTGTGGTACAGGGTGCCTTCTGCTTACCATTCTTGTATCAAAGGCCTGCCTGGCACTGATGACTCCCACATGCTAGCCCTATTCCAGTTTCACTATTCATTCAACAACCACAGCATATACAGCATAGGTCTGAGAAAAAAGATGTTGCCAAAATAGGGTCCGAACTGCCTAGGCTGCTTAGTTCAGAGCTTGCCACGGGCCTTCTGTCAGCTGGCCTTCCCAAACTCAAGGCTGGCCTAGTTTCAGGCCATCCAGCATCAAACCACTCCACCCTATGCTGGGCCACTACTTCTGTTTCTTGGGGTACCAGGTGGGCACCACGTAGGCTAAAAGCTCAGTTCCCATCCTCGGGAAGAGCCATTCCCCCTCCAGAGGTTCCAGTGGACTGTGGCTTTCCAGCCCCCACCCCGCCAAGGACTCTAGAACTATGGACAATGCCCCAACCAGGGAAAGGGAGGCACGAGCGAGGACGGTTGCCCTTCCTTCCCGCTCTCTAGAAGCCCCCGGCAGTGAACTGTCCTCTAGCTGTGAGTCCACCAGTCCTCGGTGATTGGCTGGAAGTTCGGGAGCCCGCGACTATTGGCCGAGTGCCAAAGCCCTGCCCCTACTCCCAAGCCCGGCCACTGGCTGCAGAAATTCAGTGCCAGCGAGCAGCTACCCCGTAGAGGGGACGCGCCGGCCTGGGCCGTGGTGCCCGCCCCAGGGCTTTAGCCCTAGAGCTCCCCTGGCAGTCCTCCGCGCGTGTCCCCGCGGCATGCCGCCCCCCGTGCTGTTCTGCGCTCTTTGCTGCGGACTCCTGGCTGCATCTGCGCGTGCCAGCTACTCCACAGACCCCTGCAGCTGGAGGGGCAGGTATGAGCCGCAGGGAACCGGCTGTGTCCCCTCGAAGGGGTGGGGGACAGCGTCGCCCTCCTTGGGTGAGCTCCCTGGGCGTCGGGGCAACACTGGACCACAGCCACCGCTAATGGAGAAGGCAATGAGGTGTGGGCAGCGAGCGCAGGCCCTTCGTCTCAGCGCCACCTCCTATCCCCAGTGGCCTGACCCAGGAACCGGGCAGCGTGGGGCAGCTGGCCCTGGCTTGTGCGGAGGGCTCCGTCGAGTGGCTGTACCCGGTGGGGGCGCTGCGCCTGGCCCTGGGCGGCCCAGACCCCAGTACAAGGCCTGGAGTCGCCTGCTTGCGTCCCTTGAGGCCTTTCACTGGCGCCCAGGTCTTCGCTGAGCGCGCAGGTGGCACCCTGGAGCTACTACTGGCTGAGGGCCCGGGCCTAGCTGGCGGGCGCTGCGTCCACTGGGGTCCCCGCGAGCGCCGGGCCCTCTTTCTACAGGCCACCCCGCAGCGTGACATCAGCCGCCGCGCGGCTGCCTTTCGCTTTGAGCTACGTGAGGATGGGCGTCCAGAACTGCTGCCCCAGGGCCCTGGCCTTGGCATGAACGGTGAGGGATCACTGAGGTGGGAACCAGTGGGAATCACAGAGCGGCCCCTACCTGGGCCTGGCCAGAATGGGCTCTATCATCCCAAGGCAGAGGGACCCAATGTCATGGGCAGGAGGGAGGGGGCTGGAGGGCCTGCCTTCCCTCCTTCCCTGTCAGGATTAATTTTAGGGAAAAGCAGGCTAGGTGAGTACAAGAGAGAGTGGTCCCCAGGGGGAACTTTGAGCCTCTGGTTCCTGAAGGGGTAGCGGAGGGGTGGAGAGAGTGAATCTCAGCAGACAGAGCTGTCCAGGGCTCCCTGGCCTGGCAGTGACCTCATGCCCTTCCCCCAGTCCAGCCAACAAAAGTCCACTGTGCTGTGAGTCACCATGGAGACACTGTCTTGCCTCCCTGCAGGGCACAGGCCTAGCTCTTTGCTTTTCTGAAGCCTGCAGCCTGACCTTGCAGGGGATAAGACTTTCGCTTTTTTGCTTCTTTAGGCCAGGGATCCAAAAGGCCAGAGCCCCCATATCCTGGGACTGCCCTAGCTGCACCGCTGCTCTTTGGACCTCAGGAGTTGGCTTTGGCAGCTCAACAGTTCCCCAATATTGGTGCATGTGAGATGGGGTGCAAGTGTGCAGGATGCTGGAACTCCAAGTGGGCAAATGCTGTGGCCCCTAGGCCTGTATCTGTATTCAAAACATGGAGGCTTTTGTGCCTGCCATACATTTCAAGTACAGGTGCCTTCAGTGTTGTGCGCACACCTGCTGCAAAGAGTCTGTGCACTCACCCCCACTACCCATCTCCTACTGTGAGTGGTGAGAGGGGACCATAGGACTCATGCTGTCCTCTGCATGCCAGGTGCCTGCAGGCCTTGCAGTGATGCTGAGCTTCTCCTGGCTGCATGCACCAGTGATTTTGGTGAGTGTCCTCATTATGGCAGGATCCTGGAGCTTCTCCTCCATCTCAGAATGCTCAACACTGGCCAACATGTCTCCCCATAGTGATCCATGGGACCATCCACCAGGTTGCTCATGATACAGAGCTGCAGGAATCTGTCATCACCGTGGTGGCCTCTCATGTCCTCCGTCAGAAGCTGCCACTATTCCTGGTGGGGAGTTCCGAGGGCCAGAGACAGGCCTCCATTCGAACACTGCTGCGCTGTGGTGTCCAACCTGGCCCAGGCACCTTCCTCTTTATGGGCTGGAGCCGCTTTGGTGAGGCCTGGCTAGGATGTGCTCCCCGCTTCCAGGAGTTCAGACGTGCTTATGCAGTTGCCCATGCTGCCCGTCTCAACCCCTGTGAGGTGGCATTGGACTGAGACTTCCTCTGGTACACGGTGCCAGGGAGGGCTTTGTGGGAGGGGAGGTGGGGAGACAGTGACTCCCAGGTACCCAATGCTTCTGAGATTATAATAATATTGATCATACCAGCCACTGTAGAACTGGTCTCCTGTGGCAAGTTTAGCCCTGGACTTGTCTCATGTCATTTAATCTTCCTTCTGCTTCCCCTGCCCACTTCTTCTTATTGGTGACTCTTGGCTTATTGACAGGCTCCTGCGGGACTCCATACCAGGATGCTTCTAGGGCTCAGAGCAGGAGTGGAAAAGTTGCCACTTCCTAATGCCTGAGGTTGTTGGGGATCCCTGGTTGGTGTACCAGGGGGCAGGTTGGCAGACATCACTCGTGGCTCTGGACTAGGGCTGTGAAAGAGAGGTTGGCAAGATGCCAATTCTCTCTGCAGTCGCTGTGAGCCACAGTCATCCTTGGCCTGGTCCTGCCCTTGGGGAAGAATGGGCCTTTCTGTCCAGAAGCCCCTGCAACGTGATGAGCATCCAGATGCAGCAAGGAGCCTGCAGGGTGTGGGGTCTCCACTGCAGGGTCCTGCTTGTTGTGTAGTTTCCGGCAGGCAGGATGCACAATAGGGTTTCTAAGAACCGTTTCCTGCCACTGGCCCCATTGTTGCTGTCCCTGTCTTTCTCCTCAGTCTCTCCACCACATTAAGGCATAGCAAGTTTCCAGAGAAAGCTCAGAGCCCTGAGGCTTACAGCATCTGGACAGATACCTCTCACTTCACTCCCTCAGTTCCTGGGAGAGATCTCAGAGAAAACCTAGGCTGAACCCCAGAAGTGACTTTCTATTCTTGCCTGTCCTCACTAGGGAAGGGGTCAGGGGTGGAGTAAAGGCCAGAGGTCCTGCTGAGGCTGAATGGATCCCTCATATTTCAGGCAAAGATCAGATTGGGCAAGGATCAACACTGTGCATGGCCCACAAATCCTTGTTCCAGACTGAGCTGACAAAGGCGCCCTGTGTGTGGACATTCTGTGGGTCATTCCAGAGTTCATGCAGGAATCCCCATGGGACAGCCATCTTCTCTCCTTTTTTTATTAGTACTGTTCACAGTACATTATGATCATATTGCTTGTGGGGAATTGGTACAACCATATAACTCAATTCTTTCATTCCCATCCCCTCCTTTCATTTTGTGTGTGTGTGTGTGTCTTTTTTGAGATGGCGTCTTGCTATGTAGTTCAGGCTGGCCTTGAGCTCACTTTGTAGCCCAGGCTGGTCTCGAACTTGCAACGATCCTCCCCCCTCAGCCTCCTGAGTGCTGGGATTACAGGCGTGAGCCACCATGCCCGGCTACTCCTCCTTTTATCTTTTGATCCCCAAGCATAGGCTGTTTTAAACTATACATATGGATGCTTGCCCATTGGGATGGGCCCTGGGCTTAATCTGCAGTACTACACACATCAAAATAAAGAAAGAAAGAAAGAAAGAAAGAAAGAAAGAAAGAAAGAAAGAAAGAAAGAGTGGGTGAACGTGAAGACTGGGGACTACAAAAGTGGCCTTGGAGCTGGGTGTGATGGTACATGGCTATAACTGGACTATTCCAGAGGCTGAAGCAAGAGGGTCTCTAGGGATCTGAGGCCAGCTTGGGCTACATACATAGTTTAGGGCCAGCCTCAACTACATATGATTCTGTATCAACAAATTAAAAAAAAAAAGTGGCCTGGGGACCCTGTGTAGGCCAACACTTCCAGGTGCATGCATACTTTCACAGGTAGATCCCCTTGGCTGAAGAGTGCCCAAAAGGCCAAGGAGCAGACTTTGGTGTGAATGTGAGGAAGTGGTTAAGTGCATTGGCAAGGGCCTTTCAGGTGCCAGGCACTGCTCTGGAAGTAGGAACAATACAAGGAGCAGCAGAGCCAAGAATGGGTACCTAAGCCCTCTCACTCTAGAGCTCAGTGAGCATCTTTCCTTTCCTGTGTGGCCCAGTTACAACCCCTGAGGAGGTTTTCCTGCCATTTCCTGCTGTCCAGTCAACATGGGTCCTTCAGCTGGCTTAGACTGTGGTCAATGTGTGAGCAAGTGTATGACGGACTGGTCTTGGGCATACCTACCTTGTCTGAAAGTAGTCTCATTTTGCTGAGATTCCTGATTAGATCCATGTCTTGAGGAGCCAGGACAGGGTGTATGGTTCCACAAGCCTCTGACACTGATGGGCATTTGGCCTTAACATGGGGTGAGGAAGTTGACTCAAGTTCCCTGACCCAAAGCTGTTACTCCTCTTGCCTCTACCCCTCAATTTTTTTTTTTTTTTTTTTTTTTTTTTCTGGAGGAGGGCGATCTGCCTCTCTTCTGAAGATGCCTTTCAACTCATGCTGGGCCAGCTGCCAGAACCCAGCCTCTCACATCCGGCTCCCCTCCCACCACTTTCATTATAGAGCCAACATCTGTCTTTTTGCCCACTAAATCTTTGTCAAGCCCCTGCTCTTTACCCCTCTCCTTCAGACCTCTCTTCCCCACGCGCAATCCAGTTTCCCGCCTGTCCTAGCAATGGGAGGAAACCCAAAGCCCGTTTTCCCTGGTGGCACTCTGGGTCTGGCTGGCTTCTACGGTGACCTGGACTCCCTGAGACAGTCACATGGGGTTTTGGCTATGGCCCAGGGCCTGCAGGGGTGGGCACTTTCCCGCCCCCGGGGAGCCAGTCCCTGCCTGCTCTTGTGCACCATCTCCGCGGTAGAATGTGTTCCATGAAGTTGGGGACTCATCCCCCTCCCGGGATTTCTGCAACACAAGTTGCGAAGTGCCACCTGCTGCAAGCTCTGAGCAGAGCAGATCGTGACCCTAAGGCGTTGCTGCCCGGAACTCAAGGGAGGGGCCTGGACGGAGCCGGACGGAGCCAGACGCACAACGGACCAGGCGCGCGTGCCCCGTAGAACTTCCGGCGTCTAGCCACCGCCTCTGCCCCGTCTGCGGTTGCCGTCACGGCCCCCTACCTCCAGTGGGCACGGGGCGGAGAGGATAGGAAGAGCGACCCCTCCAGTTCTGGGCAGGGGCGAGGGTCTCGGGCTACAGGCAAGAAGGTACCTTGGGCAGGACGACCCTGAGCCACATTTGCCGCAGCCATGGAGCACGACGACCCAGCTGAAGCATTGACTGAACTGCGCGAACGACGCCTGGGCGCGCTAGAGCTGTTGCAGGTGGCAGCTGGATCCGGATTAGCGGCTTATGCTGTGTGGGCTCTACTGCTTCAACCTGGCTTCCGTCGGGTGCCGCTGCGGCTGCAGGTGCTGGACGGGCTGGCCGAACCAGTAATAGTTCAAGGCCTGGGTCTGTGGGTGTGACCGGGACTGGGTGGGGCCAGGAAGAGGCGTGGCATAAGCGGTGTAAAAAGAGCTGTAGGTGAAGCTAAGTGGGATCTGGACTGTGGACTGGACGCACGGAGGTGCAAAATCTCCCAGATGCATGAAAGATGGAGCTCAGATGTGAGCTTGTAGTTGGTTGTTGCCTGGTAGGTGTGGTAGGCAGAAAACTAGTAGCCTAGCAGGCAAGCCCTACATTCCCCAGTAATTCGAGGAAGATCTGCGAGGGACTCAAGTGGCGTACAGGTTCCTACCTCAGCCCGCCCACTTCCTTTCCAGGTGCCCTACGTAGGTGCGAGCGCCCGGCAAGTTGAGCATGTGATGTCGCTGCTGCGAGGCCGCCCCGGAAAAATGGTGGATCTGGGCTCTGGTGATGGCAGAATTGTAAGGCTAACGTGTGCGAGTGTGTCCGTATCTGTGTCTCTGGCCCCACTCCGACCTCCCGGTCCCCATTTCGGTGCCTGTAGGTGCTGGCGGCCCACAGGTGCGGGCTCCGTCCAGCTGTGGGGTATGAGCTGAACCCATGGCTCTTGGGACTGGCGCGGCTGCGCGCCTGGAAGGCTGGCTGCGCGCACAGTGTCTGCTACCTACGGGAGGATCTTTGGAAGGTAATGTAAGGTCCTCAGACCCCACACCTGGACTCCATCCCCACGCTTTTAGCTTGGCTTTTGTCAGGTGCTTCTGCCAGCAGGGTGAATTGGGGGCCAGGATTCTGAAACTGCTTGGACCTCCTGCCCGCTAGCCCTCTTCCTCTGCAAGGTGGCTGCCTCCTCCCACAGGTTAGCCTGAGAGACTGCTACAACGTATCTGTATTCCTGGCCCCCAGTGTGGTAGGTCTGGGGTCAACTGCCCTACTGGGAGGCTGGGCCATACCCTGGCTATTTGTGGGAGTTTAGGGGACTGAGGATGGATGCTGGGTCTGCTGCCCCATGCGCATTTTCCTACTACTTTCTCCAACAGCTTCCACTCCTAGAGAATAAGCTGCAGGCAGAACTGCCCAGAGGGGCCCGTGTCGTGTCTGGGCGTTTCCCTCTCCCCACTTGGCAGCCTGTGACTGTGGTGGGTGAAGGCCTGGACCGAGTTTGGGCTTATGACATCCATGGTGATGGGCCACCTCTGACATCTTGGGAATTAACTTTCAAAGCCACCCCAGGACCCATTTCTACCTCAGTCCTCAAGGGCCCCCGTTTCCCAGGTTAGCTGACTGGACACAATAAAAACTTCATGGGTCTTGTGTTAACTTCTTTCATAGAGAGTACAGGGGAGGGGTGACTCCATTGGGTAAGACTGGGGTTTGGGGAGGTGTTCATGCTGGCTGTGCCGAGGTCTGCTCTGTGCTTTTCAGGAGACTGCCTAGTGGTTTCGTGGCTGTGAGTCCTTGAATGCTAGGGCTTGGCTGCAGGTGTGGCTCCCACTTTGCAGGGGACCTCTGCACCCACTAGCTTCCTCAGTCTCAGGATTTCCTGCTTGTACCTGCTCAGAGGGGCCGACTGAGGGGCTTATTTTCTTCCTTCCCACCAAGACCAAGGCCATTGGGTGACCCAGCCAACCTGCCCAGATGCTGGTCCACATACTCCTGGAGCTCAGAAAGTTGTTCCTCAGCCACAGTGGCCCTGACCAACAGCTGTGCCCGCTCATGTTCCAGCTCTGCCTGGTAGGGGGCATGAGCCATGAGCCAGGGCAGAATGTGAGGAGGGTGCCCACCAGGCCTTGCTCATTACCTGAGTGCCTTGGGAGAAGTCTCGGAGCTTCTGGCAGATCTGGACCCAGGATGCATTATCTAGACCTCTGTGAAGGGGGGGGGGGCAGTATCAAGGGCTGGTGTAGTAATTGCTGGGGTGAGTTTGGAACAGCCTTACCCAAGCCTTGGGAGATCTGTGCATGGAGGTCCTGCTGGCTGGCTCCAACAACCTTAGCCTACAGAGATGCTACCCACAAACACACACAGGTGTTTATGTCCCTAAACCCTGGAAGGTCCTCCCTCAAGACCTCTGCCCACTGTCCACATTGGACACCCAGAGGCAAGAACTAGCTGTATCACCAGGCATCCAGCTTTCATCCCGTCTTTATCTCTGGATTCCTCCAGGTCTTAAAGTGGCCCTTCCTTAGTGAGCTCTCCTGACATCCTCATTCAGAGATGACCCCTTTCCCAGCAAGGCCCTTCTTTACTGACTAGACTCAGCACAGCACAGCAGCCATGCCACTTATCTGTGATTATCTGTGATTATACCCAAACCCAGAGATTCCAGGCCAGTGATAGCCTGCTTGGAGCCCCATGTGGAGCAAGGGTTGCTGGAATGAATAGTGAAGAGCTTGGTGTTCTGTTTTTCCCCTTCCCCAAATGAGGGTACTTACTGTGGTTGTGTTGCACCCCCCTGAGAGACTTCACCGGGTCCCTTCTGTGGGTACAAAAGTAGTGTCCCAAACTTACTGTGCTATAAAGGTTCAAGGTAGGAATCCCTCAGTTGGCTGAGCAGGGCAGGCTGCTCAGAGGCTCTGGGGCTGGGGCTTTGCAGAGCCTGAGACAGGCCTCACATAAGCATTGGGGCTGTATGCTGCAAGGCGGTGTGGAGTACCTGGAGCTTCTGGAAGTGGATCTCCAACCTCACCTCAACCTCCTGCAGGTGACTGAGCTCAGTGACCAGGTGCATGGGCAGCGGCTTCAGATCAGTGGTTGCAACAAAAGTAGACTTGAGGGTTCCAGGTGCCATGCTGGGGTCTGCCAGTGCCTGGGGCTGTTTCTGCTGCATACTAAACCACACTCCAGGTCACATAGGGCCATTCCACCCTAGATACCCAGGTCAGGGTGGGGCTCACCTGCAAGTGATCAATAGTTTCTCATGTCTACAGCTCAGATCTGCCAAACGTCTGCGGTAGACCCGAGCAGCCTGTGCCAGCTGTTGCTCACGGCTGCGGTGTGCTCCCCGGATGTTCTCCAGAGTGGCCTCTAGGAACGTCTGAAGGGCTTCTTGGCTTGTACCATTGGTGTATTTCTGGAGGAGGGGAGGTGTGCTGGAGCTGGGCAGGGCAGGACTTGGTTGGGCCTAACCCCAGACCTTTGGAGTCCCATATAGCTGTCTAGGAGGCCTAGGCTCCTCAGGATTCAAAGGCTTCTGCTCACTCATCCCAGGGTCAGGGCCTATAGCTAGGTGCTCACCACCACTTCTTGGGCACAATGCTGCAGCCGGATGGCATACTCTTCATTTAACTTCTTCAGCTGCAACTGCAGCTGGGCATTCTCAGCCTTGGTTTGGCAGAGCTGGTCCTGGCAGGTGGATAGCACCTAGGGTGGAGGTGGGACTTTTGCTGAACTTGTAGAGCCCCCACCTGTGGGGATCTCAAGGCTTGTAGGATGGGATAGGGCCTTACCACAGCTTGTGCAGCCAGTTGCTGTCTGGCTGCCCTGGCATCCTTTTGGGCTTCTTGAAGCTGTTGGCCCAGGGCTGCCCTGCTGATACAGTGTAAGGTCAGCCAGATCAGGGGAAGGAGAGCCTCCCTCAGTCCCTTGGGAATGCTGCTTTGGGTAGTGCGCTCGTGGGTCCGCCCAGTCCCAGGTGAAGAAACCACTCACATCTGTGTCTCTATTGCCTGCTGCTGGGCTTTGTGATGCTCCAGCACCTGCTTCACTTCTCCCTGCAGCTGCTCCCAGCCTCCTAGCAGCTGTGAGGTAAGGAAGGACTGCATGCATGAGTCCCCAGCTCCAGGATCCCTGTACTGATCCCCACTGTCATCCCAGGTTGGGAGAATCCCAGACAGGTCACCAAGGAAAGTTGCTTGCTCATGTTGCTTTTGGCTTCACTGTGCAGGCTCAGGAGTCAGCAAGCCCTTGAACTGGATGTTCCATCTCACTGGGCCCTGTGGAGGCTCCCACCCACTCAGCCAGCCCAACTGTGTGTGTTCATGGTGACCTGAAGTCTGCGGTGATCCATGCATTCAGGTGCCTTGGCTTCCTGATTGCACTCTTGTGCCAGTGCCTGGGGGTGAGCTGGGTTGGACTCTGTTGGGGCTGTGCACCCTGGCCGGGCACGATCTCCATGTAGCTCCAGCTCTAGCAGCCGGCTCTCCAGGCGAAGGACCTGTGGGGAACCCTGGTGAGTAGATGCACCTGTCTGTGGGTTAGGGTTAGGTGAACAGGTGCACCTGGAATAGATAAATATTAGCTGGGCACACCTAGGGAAGAGTACACATACTTGCTTGCATGTGTATGGTTTCTGCACCCTTATGTACCTGGAACCCAGGCACTTGTCTTAGTGTACATTCTGTACACTCAGGCTGACACCTGTGCTTACCTCCTTCTTCAGCTCAAAAACTTCAGCTTCATGCTGCTCCTTCAGGCGATGGGTTGTGATCTGAAGGTTGACCAGTTCCTTAGAGATCTGTATGTGACCAGAGATCTGTATGAGACTGCTACTTGTGAGACCCCGTGGTGATGAATCTGGCCATTACCCTGGGGGCCCCAAACTCACCAGAAGCCGCTGCTCCTCACTCAGCTCCAGATCTGCTTGACGCTCTGACTCTAGATTGGTGGCCCAGGCTGGAACACCCTCAGGGAGCAGGGAGCAGGGGTCTGCTGGCAGCCAGTCCTTGACTCGTAGTACAAGCTGGGGAGGCACCATCACTCTGTGCTCAGGTGGGTGCTATGTCTGAGCTCACAGAGTCACCAGTCCTGTCAAGTTGGGGCAGCCCTTTCCTGGATCAGAATCAGACTGAGGAGTCAGGGACCTGTACCCTTCCTGGCCTCTGAGAAAGGCAGGACCCCTGACCCTATGGTGGCAGCAGAGTCGGGATGGGGGTGTCTCACATTCTCTGTGGCATGAGGGAGGGTCCCTGGCCTGGGAGTTTGGGCTGCTGGACCCTCCATAAAGAACAGGAACTCAGGCCTCTTGCAAACTGAGTGCATTGACCCTGCTCTACCTTACCCTGCCCGATGGTTGTTGTTGCATGCTGTGCACGGTTACCAAGGCCTCTATTGGTTTTAGCGACTTTAGGGCCAGCCCCCAAGGGCTAGGCAATTCAGTAGTAGTGGAGGAAACTCAACTCTTTCCATATATGGTGCCCCTCCTTCCTGGATACCTTTCCTCATTTGGGAAACACAAATAGAACCAGGGTGCTGAGCTAAAGCTGCTGCTGTTGGTGCTGTGGTCCTATGCCAGATGACTTGTCCTATTATGTGGATTCACACACTCACTAGACACCTTGTGTGTAACCCACTTGTGCTGGCCTAATCTGGGTTAGGCAGGTGAACAAGCTGGTCAGCCCTCCCAAACCCCATATGAGCAACGCAAGAATATGTCTCAGTCAGAGACCAGGGCCCAGAAAATCCTGGCATAGCTCCAGTGCCCCGAGGGCTTCCTGGAGGAAGTGCCCAGAGTCTGGCGAGTCTGGCGTGGGTCAAAGTGCGTGCATTGCACCTCACAGGGCACGCGCACTCCCTGTGGCGCACTCTCACTCTCTTGGCCGAGTCTAGTTCCGTTAAGCGCAGACTCAGGCCGGGCGGGGGCAGTAGACAGCCAAGCGCTGTGCTCCGTTCAAGCTCCGTGGCCAGTGGCCGGAGGCGCCGCTTCTACCAGTCTGTCGTGTGCCTTCCAGGTCGTCCTTGCAGGTGCGAGTAAGGGGGCAGCCGAGAACTGGCTGTCGGGTCTGCGGGTCCCGCTGGGGCTGCAGGGCGGGGCCTTAGGAAGAGGCGTGGCTTGATGGCGCTGAGGGTGTGGCCTGGGGGGCAACCACGCTGAGTGGCCCGCAGGCGTGGCTCACTGGGAGGTAGCGCGGTCTCGATGGGAAGGGCCTGTAAAAGAGGTGTGATCTGCCCGACGGCAGGCGGGCCCTGGAAAAAAATGTCTCTGGGAAAAAAAAAAAAAGAAAAAAAATGTCTCTGGGCAGTCTGGGGACGTGGCTTGCTGGCGAAGGCTGGGCTATGGGGAGGGGCGGGGCCTTGAGGTGGGCAGGGCTGAATTCGGCTCGAAGGCTTGTTTGTACCAGAAATAAATTTCCTGCGGCTCAGTAGTTCCTCCTGGGAGGTAACAGGGCTCAGCTTTCACCTTGTGTGTGTGTGTGTCCTGCCTCACACAGCTCAGTGGGGGCACAGGCAGGAGGGTTCTGCGATTATGAAGGTCAAGGTCATCCCTGTGCTTGAGGACAACTACATGTACCTAGTCATTGAGGAGCACACGCGGGAGGCTGTGGCGGTGGATGTCGCTGTGGCCAAGAGGGTGAGCGCTCTCTGCTACCACTGCCCACCCTCTCTGATGGGTTCCCAGCCACCCTAGCTGGAGCAGACCACGCCTCCAGTCTCTGATCATTCAGCATTTATTTTCTGGGGGCTCTCCTGAAGTTATGGGTGTCTTTGGTGTGCCCATAGATGTGGTGCAGCCAGTAATTGTCAGATGCTTTTCTCACCCCACGATGCCTTGGGTTAGGATTAGGGTCCTGGTGCTTGGGTATGGGAGGAGGCAACTGATCCAAACGTCTGTATTACCAAAGCTCCATCTCTTCTAGTTGCTGGAGATTGTGGGCCGGGAAGGAGTGTCGCTGACTGCGGTGCTGACTACCCACCACCACTGGTGAGCTTGGGCAGACAGAGTGGAAGGATTCCTCTTCTACACTGCACAGTCCTGACCTGGTGCCTGCTGGCCCTCAGGGATCATGCGCATGGAAATGAGGAATTGACACAGCTGCAGCCAGGCTTGGTGGTGATGGGCGCAGATGAGCGCATCTCTGCACTGACTCGAAAGCTGGTACACGGTGAAGAGCTTCAGGTGAGCCATGCTCAGGAGGAATGGGAGCCACCAGCCCCTGGGTAGTTCCTCTAGGAGGTAACAGGTCTCTGCTTCCTCTGTGTGCATGCATGTGTGCATGTGTGCATGTGTGTATGGAACTGCTGGGGCTCTGCCACCCAGCCCCTTCATGGTCTGCTTCCCCTCTGCTGAAGTTTGGGGCCATACATGTTCGATGTCTGCTAACACCTGGCCACACCTCTGGTCACATGAGCTATTTCCTTTGGGAGGATGAGTGTCTGGATCCACCTGCCCTCTTCTCAGGTATTACAACTCTTGGCTTGCCCATCCCCTGCTCTGATCCAACTCCCAGTTTTTCTGACCCACTCTCCTCCTTCAGGGGATGCACTGTCCGTGGCTGGCTGCAGCTGGCATCTGGAGGGCAGCACCCAGCAAATGTACCAGAGCCTTGCGGAGACATTGGGCACCTTGCCCCCGCTGACGGTGAGCAAGTGTTGGTGCTAAGGGTTCAGACCCTGCCTAGTGCTGTGCTTCCTCTGGAATGATCCAAACGTTCTACACTGCCTTACCCTAGACCAGGGATCTGAGCACCTTCCCTGGCCTCTACTTGGAACAGCACTGGACACCCACTGACCTCTCTCCTCCTCCAGAAGGTATTCTGTGGCCACGAGCACACACTAAGCAACCTTGAGTTTGCATATAAAGTGGAACCTTGCAGCGATCACGTGAAAGCCAAGCTGTCCTGGGCCCGGGTAGGCCACTTTTTGGAGGGCTGTAGGGTGGGACAAGAGGTAGTATGTCCTCCTGGTGTTTAGGTGCAGGGACCTAAAACAGCCCCAGCGTCAGCATGACTGGTTTTATGAGCACAGCTGACCTGGGATGTGCTGTTCTGCTATGGATCCTCCTGTGACCTGATCCAAGCAGCCTGGTCTGCCAGAAAAAGTCCAGTTGTGATGAAAGCCTGTGGTCATTGCAGAAAAGGGATGAGGATGACATTCCCACTGTACCCTCAACCCTGGGAGAGGAGTTCCTGTACAATCCCTTCCTGAGAGTAGGGTGAGTATGGTTCTTTTCTGAGCCTTCTGGTGATGATAGTGGTGGGCAGCTGAGCTAGGATCATTGGGGCAGCCTTGGGACACTGTTGGGCTTTCGGTCTCTCTGTGGAGTAGGCTTGTAAGGGCCATCAGGGGGCCTTGGACCTCCTGGTGGACAGTTATTTGAATAGTTAAGATAGAGTCTGGAGACTATTAGGCTGACTGTGCCTGGCACGGGGGAAAGCTGTTAAGTGGTTTCCCATCATCTGCTGCCCTACCCATCACCCATCCCAATGGGTGATGGGCTACACCAGTGGGCTCTCATAGTGTTCCCTTTCTCCTCCAGAGAGGAGCCAGTGCAAGAGTTCACAGGTCGCACAGCTCCTGCTGAAGTGCTAGAGGTGCTCTGTGAGGAGCGAGCAGCCTTCCAGCAAGCTGCTGAGCCACTACAACTTCAGGCACCAGCTCTCTTTGCACTGCAGTGGGGGCTCCTGGGCAAACCAGAGCAGAAATGATCCACAAAGGGAGCCTGCTTGCCGCATGTCCCTCTGGATGACTGGGCTCCCTGGAACCCTCCTGAGACCTTGCCCAGCTGGCCACCCAGTCTTAGAGGAAAAGCAAGTGGTGTACTCTGTCTTATGGGAGTACAGGCAAGACCTCTGTAGGGCTATGTATGCCAGAAGTCTGAACCCCAAATAAAGCTCTGGAAGACTTTTCTCAGTGCTGCAGATACTCTGAAAAGCCAGCTATCTCTACAGTTGTTGGATATGTTCTTTTATTAGAAGAGAAGCATGGTGGGAGATGGGCTTACAGGACCCAACATGAAGGCATGGAGCCCTGTCCTAGGCCCACAGCTTTGTAACAGATGCCACACTTCCAGGGTCCCAGGCTCTCTCTCTTGCCAGGCAGTCTCTGTGTAGGACTGTTGGTGGACTCACTCAGCAGGTCCACACCCTCTTTCTGTCACTTGCTTTCTGCACTGAGCATTAGGTCAGCCTAGAAACCAGGGAGGAAGCATCCCAGGAGTGACTGCAGCACCCACAGCTAGGAAGGGTAAGGAAGGTATTCATGTACCTTGTCCATGGCTAAGGTTCCAAAGGCTTCTTTGGCGCTTCATACCTACCTGGCAAGGCCAGTGCAGTCTGCAGGCATGCAGGTCAGCACTGGCCAGGTCCTGACAGAGCCTGTGTCCTGCTTCAATCCCTGTAGCCCACCTCAGTCTGGGGAGATTCCTTGGGGTCTATGGCTCTGGTCTTTCTCGAACCAGTGCTGGTCCTGAGGGCTCCAGCAGACCGCCAGACTCCTACCACCGGATGTTGAGGCCTGAGCTGGCCTTCTCCACAGCATGGTACTGTGTGTGCAGCAGGTGACTGGCCTGCTCTGATCCCTCTCCCTGCAGCCAATGTTGGTACAGCTCCCGGACTCCAGGGGCATCTTCAGGTGCTTCTACCCTGATCATGCTGTATAGTCTCTCCACCTGCTGGAGAAGCTCCTTGCCCGGAACATCTGTGGCTTTAAGCTGACCTCCACCATTCAAGCAGCCTGAGCAGAGCAGATGTGTGGGCATGGTATCAGAAGAGTATGAGGTAGGGGTCCCAGCACATACTCTCTTTCCACTACAGTATCCCAAAATACCACGAGCAGATAACTGCCCAGATGGCCCTAGGACCTGAGAGGACCTACCTGAAGGGCAGGCCATGACCTCCACATAGTGATAGGGACAGCGGCCCCGCTTGAGCTTCTGTACCAAGTTCTGGATGTTTCGAAAGCCATAGGCCATGGCAAAGCGCAGCAGCACTTGGCCTTCCTTCTCCAGGGTCACCTCCTGAAAGTCCTTATTCCTGGAAACAAGACTTGCTGTGTATACCACACAATGCTAAGTTCCTATCTGAGCAGGGGAGGCCTGCTGGGACTGAGGGCATGGCCAGGTGAATCCTACCCTCTTTCTTGCCAGGAGAGGACCAACTGTAGCCTGCTTCCTTGTCTGTAAGATAGGACTCCCTCTTTCCTAAAGATGGCTTTGACACGAAGTCCCAGCCCTCCTACCTAGACGCAGGCAACACTCTAGCACACATACATATAGGCTATGCTACTATTCTTGTGCACACTGAATTTTCTTGTTCAGGATCTCTGCTGTGGGGCAAAGACGCCTCAGTTCATTTCTGCTGAGCCAGCAGGGAGGGCCCTGTCAGTCCCCTGCTGGGATTCTGGGATCCTCTGTCAAGCCCATCTGAGCAAGAGTATGCAGGAACTTTGTGCTGACTTAGGGAGCCACATAATTGCCCTGTCCAGCCTTCCAACCCATGCCACTGACCTTACGGGTGTGTAGGTGACCTCAGCCACATGGATTCCAAAGAGCTCTTGGGCTGCGTGACGGAATACATGCTCCAGGTAGCCTCCTGAGCCCCCGCCCCGATGATTGGTGAGCTCCTCAACAGACATAGTACTGGTCCTGGGGGAGGTGCTGGTCAGTGAGGATGAAGGCAGGGCCTCAACAAAACTATATGCTCCTTAGTTTAAGCTGTTTGGTTTTCTAAGTGGGAAACAAGTCACAGACACAAAGAACCCTGGAGGCCTTGGTGTATCTGGGACACAGATGTGCTCCGCTGGCTTCCTGGGAGCTCAGACCTCCACAGGGCTAGGCTCTGTTGATGACATGAACTCGGGTCCTTCTGTAGCCCAAGATGGGCCACAGGGAAGAAAGAGGGCATTGCCTATAAGTCACACCTGAAGCCAAAATAAAGGTTCCCAGCTCTCTCCACCAACTCACAGGCTGTCCAGAGGGGCTGGCTCCAGCTCTGGCAGTGACACCCCTTCCTCTTCCAGCAGCCTGAAGACTTCCCCTGCAATGGACACAGTATGGGCTAAGCCTGGGCTTCCAGGTATCTGTATCTCTGGCAATTTGCAGTCTGGCCCCAGGAGGGTCTCTGGCATCCACCCAGCTGGTGGTGGAAGGACCAGCCCACCTCTGAAGACCCTCTGGAGGACCACCTTGTCCTTCCCCTGAGAGCATTGGGAAGGTAAGCCAGAGCCACTGTACCGGTCCCATGCTGGCCATCCAGCTTCCTAGGCAGTTTATTTTCCTATCTTGTTATTATCTGGGGTGCAGCTTAACTCAGAAATGAAGTGATGGGGGCCCAAGGTATAGCTCAGCAACACAAATGCTTGCCTGGCAAGTGCAAGGTTGTGAGTTCAATCTCCAGTACAAAAAAAGGAAAGGAAAGGAAAGGGAAGGACAGGAGTGACAATGTGAGCCAAAGGGCTCGCCTTGAAACTTTTGCCTGTGTTCCCTGAGACTGACTGTGGAGTCAACAAATAGATGCTACTGGGCTTCTGTGGCCAAGGCTCCTGCACGGTGAGCTGAGAATGCCGTTGACCCCTGGCCAGATGGAGAGACAAGAAGTGCAGAGGCAAGCCCCAGTCTCCCACTGGGATTTAGCACAGCCTTGAGGGCAGGTGCCAGGCAGGGCCTTGAGATGACCTTACCTGTTGTGAGGACACAGTCAACATCACGAGTCTGGTACTCCTGGTTGAAGAAGTCAGATCTGGAAGCTTCTAGCTTTTTGTCATAGCAGGGCATAACTGTGATGTGGTAGATCTTGTCAGGGGTCAGGTTCTATAATGGGAATAGAGAACCACAAGTGATACCTGACCCCTGCTCAAATGTGGTAGAAGCATGAATGTGGACACAGTCACCAAGGGCTTCTGGCCAGTCACACAGCATTTCCCAGCATCCTTCCGGACAACTCAGTGGATATATCAGTGGATATATCCACAACTCAGTGGATATATAGATGCCATAGGCTCCAGCCACAGCCAGACTATGCCCCTAAGTTCCAGGGAGGGCCCTTTCTCCTTGTCCTCACATTACTGGTATCAGCAGTAAAGAGCAGGTCATGGTGCAGATGAGGACAATCAAGGGAGTCTGGCTGAGTTCACAGGGCGGGAACACAGCAAGACTGATGTTAGTTTAGTGCACTGCCCCCAAGGCTGAATGGTATAAAGTTCCTCACTTAATGCAGCTTTTGACCTGGGCTGGCTTTGGCTACTGTGTCCAGACCCTAGGGCCTGGCTACCTCTAGACAAGTGACAAGTACCTTTCTGTCAGAACTGGGCCCCTGCTGATCAACAAAAAACAAACAGCTTTGGGAGCAGTATGCTGGCTGAGCAGGAATAAGAGCTGGCTCTGGAAGAAGTGACTATGAAGCTCTGCATGACCCCAAACACCTCCAAAGGTGCTGTGGCCACAAGTGAGGGTTCTGACCTCTCTTAGCTTTATATCAATGGGCTGGCACGGCTACCCCTGGCTTGTGGCTCATAGCTAGCCATGATCCAGTGTGCTGCCTGAGGATGGCCCAAAGCTATTACCTGCTGCTGGGCAAAGAAGTCCTTGACGAGGGAGCCCATGACCTGCTGTGGGGACCGGGCTGTGCTGATGTAAGGGAGGATGAAACTGCCGTGGGTCTTCTCAGCATAGCAGATCCAGCCTGAGCCAACAGAAACATGTATCTTGGTAGAGGCACAGGGCAGGCCTGGAGGTGGTGCACAGACAGCCTCTTCACGTGGCATGACATGACATTCTGGGGGTGGACCAACTCACACAAAAAAATTGCAGTGGCATTAAAAAGTATTCCCATTCTGTCACCACCACCCGCACGTGGAATGTCAGCATCCAGGTGATTGTCAACGGGAGCTGATGACTGCAGGTGACTCTCCAGGGCCCAAGATGCCTCCTCTTCCAACAGTCTACTGGGTAGCAAGACTCCTAATCCACTTTTGCCTCCCCTCACTATCTTTCCTGTTTTCCCATGACAAGCTGTTGGTATCATGTCAAGTTCTAACCTCCCTTGAACTTGAATTTCACATTGCAAGCCATGAGCAAACCTGGACAGGAGGAAGCCAGCACAGGCAAGGCCTTTCTGGAGTCAGTTTGTTCTCGGAAACGCTGTATAAATTCTCGTTGGCTTTCAAGGAGAGTGAAGTTTCTGGAGAAGGTGGTATCAAAGACAAAGTGTGCCCCTAGAAGGCAATGGAAGGCATGTATATGCCTGACCCATCATGGTCAGAACAGCATCACATAGGCTGCAGCAGCAGCACTGACACACACATACACCCTAAGCAAGGCTCTGCAGCACTTTTTCATGGCAGCTCAGGAAGCACCGCTGTACATATTACAGCTTGTGCCATGTGGACAGCCCAAGAGCTGACGGGGAGCCTGCTTCCCACAAAGCATCGACCCTACTGCAGTGAATTCCTATAATTTTGTCATCTCAATATCCATTTTGAGTACTGCTTAACTCTTACATCAGAGGGAGAGCTCAGTTGCCTGGACATAGTGTCCTGTTCTCCACCTGCTTTCAGTTGCTTAGTGTGAGGCTTCCAGAGGACTGCTTCACATAGCCACCTCTGGGATGGCCACACTGCCCACAGGACAAGCACGCACACTCACCTGATAAGTGCTGTATAAACAGCTACAGAGAAATTTCTCAGTGGAGTGAGATTCTTTGGAACTCGAGCTGGTGTGCCCTAAACCCAGCAACTAAAACTTTCTGCAGGAAATCTGACTAGACTTCAGAAAAGCATGGCCCTCTTGACTTGCGGCAACCTCCCTGAATTGAACCTGGGAAGAAAAATCTATGAACTTGTTTCCTATGGTGGTGTGGTGCTAAACTTTAGTCCTCCATCAGAACTAGGGGTTGCCCCAGGCTGTTTTTCCTGGATGCTGGGGACTCTAGGTCCCAGCACCAGATTGATGGTTGGACAGCAGAACCCAGATACAGGTCAGACAGGACCCAGAGGGCCTCTACCAAGTCATCCTGGTTACAGGTGGAGAACTAGCTATTAGGCTGCTGGGTGAAAAGAGCATCCATGAAGAGGGTACCATTAAGGCCTAAACTCAGCATCCTTTTGTTTCCTATTAGGACAGGAGAGTACCAGCAGCTGTGACACTGAAACCCTGACTTTTTTGTGAGTCCTTAAAACACCTATGTCCTACCCAACCCAGGTCCTGGCTCAGAATCTAATCAAAGCTGACTAGAGCCCAAACCCAACACAGACCTGGAAAATGTGCTTTAAAAACAGTAACTAAAAACAAAACAAAACAAAACTCAGAGAAAATACAAAACTAGAATTCAGTTGGCTTCTTTTCTTTTTTTGCATTTGCTCCAAGACGGGGTCTTGCAATGTAGTTCAGGCTAGCCTTGAACTCTCTGTGTAGCCCAGGCTGGCCTCACATTCATTGTGATCCTGTTTTTTTCTCAGTATAAGTGCTGAGATTACAGGCATCCATCACCACACCCAGCTCAGATGGCACCTTTGTAAGGCACTGCTCTTAACTGTGAAAGTACAACTTTAACTGAAGTCAGACTCAGGATAGAGTGTCTCTAGTGCTTAAGTTCAGAGTGCAGCAGCTTGTGACTCAGAGACAGGAAAAGCCTCTGACACTAAACACCCTCTAGTTTTGAAGCTGTGGTGCTCACCCACGGTTTTGTGCCTACCTATTTTTTTAAAGAACGAAGTCAGCTTCTTGGCAGTGTCTGTAGGACTCAGCTGGAACCGTGCAGCCAGCGATGCCCTGGACTGGGGTGAGATTGAAAGGACAACCAGCCGCTGCTGATCCGGTGGTACTGCCTGCAAAGCAAGGGAGACATATTGCTCAGTCCACAGGTTCTGTGCAGATTCCTGATTGGCCAATCTGGTGCAGCCAGATGTCATCAGTCTGGAGAGAACATGTAACCTCATCGCAGCCTATCACACTGGTATATACTGGTATATACTTGAAGTTATGGGTCTGGCACTTTCAATGTCAGACAAGCACCAAAAAGTAAGAAACCTACAAGAACCCACAAGAAAACTCAGATGTGCGAGTCATCAAAAGACAGGACAAGCAACACTGGAGTAATTGCCTCCAATGCTGGGGTCAGTTTCCACCATGTACCTTATTGGCAGCTAGAACTTTCCGCAGCTCCTCGTGGCTCTGCTGGGTGATGAGCACGGTCTCTGCTGAGGTGACACAGCCACTGCAGGCCAGGCAGTCATTCAGTGAGACCCTGGCCTTCTCTAGTCTCCGGGTCCCACCGTCCTGCAGAGGAGGAAGGACACAAACTGAGAGGCCTCTGTAGGAATGAGGACGCTACAGGACCCTTATCCTTCCATTCATAAGTAACACCCAGATTACTACCAATGTGGGGGCTGGCTGGGCTTATATAGTATTCAGTTTCTTAAAAACTAAATGCCTATGACATAAATGCTCCTAAATCTTCATGTTGATATCTAATTCTAACTTGGCTAGCACATCAGAATTGCATGAATGAGGCCTGCTTGCAGTAAGTCAGCACAGAAGCAGAGAGAGGACCTGCCCATCTAGGGGGTCCTGGAGGGGATGCTATTTCCCAAGCTGCAAACTCATAGGCCACTAGGGACAAGCTGTGGACCAAGTGGTGGGGAGGGGCTACAGGCCAACCTTCAGTGGTTTTTCGTATGAGAAATGATCTCAGCTTGGAACACCTCACTTCCTCTACAAACACAGGATTGGTCTGAGCCAGGGTAAGGAGAGCTGCTGAGGCCCAGCAGGCAATCTAAAGAATGAGAACTTGACTAGAAGTTCCTTCAGCTGGTTCTCTGGTAGGCCTATGCATGGCATCTACAGGCCAGGTTGTGCTGCTATGTGGGGTAAAGCCAGCGTGTCCCTCTTTTTTTTTTTTTTTTTTTTTTTTTTGAGATAGGGTCTCACTATGCAGTTCAGGCTGGTCTTGAACTTGCAACAATCCTCTTGCCTCAGCTCTTGTGTACATATGTCTCTCTTAATCAGCTGCCACCACACTGGACAGCATGAACCCTAATGCCCCTCCCTTGAGTTCATTTGTAGGACCCCTCCTGAAAGCTAGTCCTCCTGCTGCACCATAGTCTGGGGCCATGGTATGCTACAGGACCACCCTCATGGACTGGCTCTTCCTGTAGCTGGTCAGTCCTGTCACCTGTCCTTCACAGAGATCTGTACACCTTACACCATGGACTACCCTGCCATTTCTGCCCCACTCAGGGCAGGCTAATGGGCCAGGCTCCCTGGGTGGGGCTGGGCTGTGCATATTTCTTAGCATAGCACCACATGGCACTTTGAAGATGTTCTCTAAAGTCCAACTGATGAAGTTTAACATCATCACATCAGGAAGACTTTATTGTCTCTAAACTGGAGAGGAAGTGGGTATGCTCCAGGATGTGGAGCTGGAACCAGAAAGTTTTACACTACTAGGACCGAGATGGGATCTACATCTCTACAAAAGAGCCCCTCTGAGAAAAAGCCAAACTCACTGTTCGGTTTAGGGACCCATTCACTTTCCCCAGGCACCCTGGTCCTGGCTCCCATAGTGGTCAGTGAATATGACCAGTAAGAAAGGACTGGTGAAGATGTGGCAAGTCTTAAAGTCATCACATTCATGACTAGGTGAGGCAAATAAAATGTGCAGCGAAGCCTTTCATGCCTTACTTGGTCGACTTGGAAGTAGCTCCCATCATCTTCAATGTGAATCTTGGTAACAGCACTCCCCGGCCTCTTATCCACCTTCACGGGCTTGATGCAGTCCTACATGGGAAAGACCCCAAACTTGCCCTGTGAAGAGGCAGAGGCTTCCAAGGAAGCCAGGCCTCAAGTTTGGCTGGCCACATGGCATGATAATGCCTTGAACTGCACACTCCAAGATGGAGGCCAGTTCTACCATCTTCTTGCCACTCAAGCCATCCTAAACTCTAGCTGCTGATCCTGCTCTGCACTGGACACTGATTTCTAATATGAAGGTTGCTCACTGTGCAGGTCCGGGTCAGCATGAAGGCCAGTGCTAAATGGGCCTGTAAATTATACATTTGCAGAAACCACCAGCCTGACCTTAGCAGCCAACACACAGAAATGGCTTTCAGTGTTAAGGGCTACTGAAAAGAACCCAAGGGCAGGGCAGGAATTCTTTCCTGGAAGTCTGAAGGTCACTTCCCACCCACTGACCTGGGCAAAGGCAAGTCTTTCCTCATCTTTTTGAGTTCTCTCTCATTCCACAGGAACCATGGTGGCCATTGCACCTTCTCTGAAAGTGGCCAACCCCACTGATCCCTGGCAGACGGTGATTAATCTTTTCTGGGTAGCAGGTCAGTGCCCCTCCTCCTCTGCGTCTCCTTGGTTGTGGCAACACAGAGCCAGAGGTAGGCACATCCGGATGTGACTGGTGCCCTGTAGAAGCTCTGTCATCCTCTGTGGGTTATGTCCAGGGCAACATCTCAGAGCAGTTCCTGTCGTGCCTTCTATGGAACACTCCCATGTACAACATCGGAGGCCTGGCAGGACATGCCCGTAGATGTGCAGAGGTGGTCAGCCCCACTCCTGCCTCTACATCCCCTCTGCAGGAAGACACTGAGGGACAGTGGCTATAAGAGCAGCACGAGAACCAGCTGCCATCTGTCTCCACTGGGCTGTGTGAGCTGGCGCGGGTCTGTGATCCTTGAACTCTCCCTAGTCATTCTGGACATCCTTGGCATTATAACCGGGTAGGAAGGCACGACCTTCCCTAGCCTCAGTTTCCCTGTTGATAAGAAAGCGGGCAGACCTCCAGAGGCCCTGAGTGAGGAAACCCCGAGGGTGGGGCCGGGTCCCGGAGAAGAAGCAGGCGATGACAGGTTTCCCCCAGCACGGCCTACCCGGCCGGCCCACCTGAGAGGGCCCGATGAAGTCATCCAAATCGGTCAGCTGTAGCGCCCCGCTAAAGGGCGACGCCATGGCTGGTGTACTGCCGCTGGGTATCACGTGTCAGGTGTCGCTAAATAGCAGGAAAGGAAGCGGTTCTTCCGCCACGCTGCCGGAAAGCACACCACTCGGCGCAGGCGCATCTCGTTCCGGGGGGGGGCGCCCTCTGGTGGTGATCCTGAGCACAGCGGCTCTCGCATCCCGAGTCACAGATGGTCAGGCCCAAACGTTTGCTGTTTCATTTTTTCCACGTTCGCTTGGGCTGAGATGCAGAGGGACAGTGTAGACAAAGAATGACGCAGCTCGCTGCGAGCCCTTCTGGCTTCGAAAACAATCGTACGGGAACTTCACTGGTCCTTTTGTCTACTCATCCAGTGCAGACCTGCCGGCCTGATGTGGACTGGAAGGGACAGCCCTGGAGCTCCTAGAGTGTCAGCTTTACCGTTCTTAGCTCACTGTGCAGCCTGAGAACCCTGGACGGCGCCTGGCGCACAGTGGACTCCTGGTTTCTGATTCAGTAGATTCAAGCGGCCAAAAAAATTTTTTAAGGACAGGATTCAGTTACTCACTCGTGGCTACAATCTGAGCGTAGCCCAGGGGTCCCCCACCCTGCCCATCTGTCACTACCCTAGTCCTGTTATCTTAGAGAACAGCCTAAGGAGGCTGTATTCCTTTAAGAATTTATAGCCTGACAGAAGACCATTACTGGTCTGACTCAATTATTAAGCTTAAATAAGCCATATCATGTCCAGTTATGCACTTGATGATTTTTTGTTGCGGCTTTCCAGAAAATTATAGGTATTGAGACTGGCTTATACCCAGTCTCCACCTGGCCCAGTCTGGTGCACCAACAGGCCTAATCTGGGATCATTACAGTAAACCCACATTTCTGAGGCCCTGGTCACCTGTTGTCTGTCTACTCTCCCAGTACTACGTATTGAACTCAGGGCCTTTGCACTGAGCTACATCCCAGCCCTTCTTCATTTTTAAAAATTTGAGACAGCGTCTTCCTAAATTGTTCAGGATGGCCTTAAACTTGCCATCCTCCTGCCTCAGCCTTTGAAGTGGATTACAGACATGTGCCATCATGCCTAGCTTGAATCACACACTTTAAATGGCTGATCTACATGATGTGTGAATTTATAACTCAGTAAACCTGTTAAAACCACTGGATGTGGTGGTACATGCCTGTAACCCTGTAATCAGCACTCAGGAAGCTGAGACAGGAGGATTGCTGTGAGTTTGAGGCCACCCAGGGCTGCATAATGAGTTAAAAAATAGCCTGTATTGTATAATAAAACCCTGTGTAAAAAAACAAACAAACAAAACAGCAACAACAATAAAGGCAAAACAAAAAAGCAAAGATAGAGCTAGCCAGACATGGAGACACATGCCTGTATTCCCAGCAATTAGGGAGGCTGAGGCAGGAAGATTGCAATTCTGAGCCCAGGGAAGAAAGAAAAGAAAGAGGAAGAAGAGGAAGAAGAAGAAGAAGAAGGAGAAGGAGAAGGAGAAGGAGAAGGAGAAGGAGAAGGAGAAGGAGAAGGAGAAGCAGCTAGCATACTGGCACATGCCTGTAATTCCAGCACTGAGGAGACTGACGCTGGAGGATAGACATGAGTTTGAGGCGAGTCTAGGCTACATAGTGAGTTCAAGACCAGCCTAAACTACATAGAGAGATCCAATCTCAAAACAACAAAACAAAAGAGTTTGGCTGACACCTGTAGCCCCAATGCACACCTGGAATATCTAGTCTCAAGCCTTTATTCTGTCATCCCTTGAGGAGTACCAGAGTGGGCAGCGTAGCCGGGTTTTATTGTATTTATTTTATTTTTTGTAGTGCTGGGGATGGAACTCAGGGCCCTGTATAGTAGGCAAGTACTCACCACTGAGCTGCACCCCCAACTCTAGAGCCAGTTTCTGGCCCAGAACACAGGACCAGGGCTTTCTGTGCACAGTCTCTATCATTCACCCACATGCGGTACATCCTCCTGCTGCTCTAGGCAGGCTCCTCATCCCCCCCGCCTCTCATTAATCATTTCCCCGCAGACTCTTGCTTTGGTGCCTCTGGTCCCTGTGCTCCTATTTTGCGAATTGTTTCATCATCATCATTAGTGAGTATTTACCTTAAGCTTCCCATGTGCAAGTCCCTAAGTTGGACACTGGGAACACCATGGTTTACACATATCAGAGAGGAGGGGGGGGACAAGAGGGCCACCTGGGGACACAAGGCTGGAAGGACCTGGGGGCTGCTGTGATGCATGACTCCCATGGCTCCCTTCCCTGGACTAGCATGGTACCCTGACTACAGCTCCCTCCCTTCTCACCCACAGCCACCCATCTGCAGCTGGATGGAAGTGTCAGCATCCTGTTGCCCATACTCTGTCCACCAAGGCTACTCATGCTACCCAGGTCCCCTTTGTGGGTAACATCAGAGTTTTGTCCTATGTTGTTTGCCTATGTTGGCTGGTCTCTAGATGGCCCCCAAAGTCTCGTGTGCTCACAGTGAGGCTTTTTAGAGATGGCTGGATCTAGGGTGTGAGGTACTGGGATTAAGGCTAAATTAGTTTAGCATAGTTCTGGGTGTGGATGATGGGATGCCCATCCTAGGTGTAGATGGCACCACCCAAAAGCCTTCTAATGTTTAAGGTCAGTGGGGGCTACAGGGTAGATGTAAAAACAGTAAGGATCTAAAACTGAGACCATTTTGGTGGATCCTAAATCCAAGGATAGGTGTTTTGGTAAGAGAGGGGAGAAACAGAGAGCAGATGGTCATGCCAAAACAGAGACAGAGCCCAGAGTGATATGGCCACACACTCAGGGATGCTGGAGCCGCCAGAACCAGGAAAAGTGGGAAGGGTCCTCCTTGGAGCCTGCGGCGGGGGCTTGGCCCTGGCCATACCTTGTCTCAGACTTCTGATTTCCAGACTCTGAGGCTGAATGTCTATTGTTCGAAGCATCAGCCTGTGGACACTTGTTACAGCAGTCTGGACACCAACTCTGATGCTGCACACAAAAGGGAGCCTGGGCGGTGTGGCCAGCCTTGATGGACACTGCAGGGCAAGAGGATGCTGGCACTTCCTCCCGCCCAACTGCAGATTCTCAGTACTATAAAAAAAGGACAGATAAAGAAAGAGAAGTGGGGTTCACCCCTCACAGCTCATGTGGCCCCTGAGCTGCCTACACAAAGGCCCTGCATGGAGTGAGAGGGTATCCAGGGCTCACACGGGCCTCCTGCTTATGACTCATGCTTAGGAAGTTCTGAATGAATCAGCCCAGACTCCTGCCAGCCATGGGTCACCTCTGCCTGGGAATATCTGTAGACCTGTCCCCTACCATCCCTGTCACAGAGCTCAGGCCTCTAAGTTCCCGTAAGCCCCCAAATTAGCTGTGAATCCTGTGGATCCAAAAAGTCCCACTGGAGGGCAGCGTGCTCTGTGGGTATGGGGGTACACCAGGGCCTCATCCCCAGTTTGGGGAGAAATCAGCCTTTTGTGGGGAAACTTGGACCCAGCCCTATCCTCTTGAGGCCCACTGCCCCCCACCCAGGGCCCTGTGAAGTAAGACTGTCCTGTGTCACTGGCAGATGTGTTCTGTTTGTTGAGGGGAACTGCTGTCGGGCCATACATGAGTACATCACCAGTGGCATAATCAACACGAGTGTCCTCCCTCTGGGCCGCCACATCTTGTTAACAGGTGGAGTCTGGCATGGGGACAATTAGTTAATGAGGCAGCTGCCAAGGCCACTCCCAGTGGGAACAGCGGATGTGGGTGGCAGGAATGGCACAGGGTGGGTGGTTGTGCGGGCTGCTAGTGTCCCCACCGTAGGGGTCGCCATATGGTGAGGGACAATGGCGCTTAGAGCCTGATAGGGCTAATGGTGGGTGGCTGGGCCCTGTGCCTCACTTGGATTATGCCTGCAGATACTGGGCAGGGTGTGGGGACGAAGCAGTGTGGTGGATCTGAGTGATGTTCACGGTTCCCTCAGAAACCCCTGAGCCCTGAGTCCCTCCCCCCACACACTGAGCTGTCTCTGCCTCTGGGACACCGAATGCAGAGAAAATGGGGGGCCAAGAGGCACCTCAAATTCCAAGGCGAAGGGCACAGTGCAGGCAGAGCACAGTGGGTGGGAGAAGAGGGTGATGCTGCTGTCCTGCCCAAGGTGTGATCACCCCATCCATGGTGGGCATAGCGGGGAGTGGTGGCCATGGATCCCATTGGGCATGGGCAGGGTGCAAGTGCTGGAGAGGAGCCGGCATCCTTTGAAGGTGCCCTAAGTGTGCCCTCCATCTGCTTCCCTCCCCTGGAAGTCCCACAGCCTACCCTGAGCCGCTCAGCCCAGGCCCATGTTGCTCCTGACTATCCCGCAGCTGCCCATTTCCTTTCTAGGTTCTGAAGCCCAGAACCTACTCCGCCTCACTGACACCCAGGATAGGACACAGTGGGGAAGGGGAGTCGTGGGGGAATTGATGAGCCCCCTGCTGATCCCACATGAGCCCCTCTGTTGCTCCTTTTAGTCCCTGTGTCTGTCCCCTGTAAGATAGGAAGTGTGGGCAGTAGGAGACGACTCAGCACACCCAGCCAGGCTGGGGAACCCCAGTGTGGAGGAATAGTTAACAGTCAGCTTGTCACACCCTGCTGAGCTGAGTCAGTGTGGTCGAGGGGATGGAAAGCCCGCTTGAGGATTGTTGCCAACAGCATGAAAGCAGAACTGCGGGGCAGAGGTTGTGCAGTTGCTTCTCCTTGAGAAGCTTGTCATGCTGGCTTTCCTGATATAAACTCAACTGTTCTCATCCTTGGAAAAGCTCAAGTGCCTGTGGTTCATTTTGGGGAGCTCTGGAGCCCCCTTAAGTGTTGTTTCCTGGCTCCAGGGCAGATCCCTCAGCCTGCTGGTGTAGATTTTCTAGCTCCCACTACTGACCTTTAATCCTTGATACAGACTTGCATGAGACATTGTTGTGGGCTCTAGGTCTTTGGTGGGACTCATGCAGGACATTGCCGTGGGATCCAGGTCCTCAGGTAGATTCTTTGAGTCTCCATTTTGTGGACAGATCTCCTGAACTTTTCTGAGTTTGACTATTTGGGTGAATATTGTAAAATAATCCTATAAATTATGTGTC